CCGGTGTTATCATCGCGTTTATTATTGGCGATGCTGACTATGAATTGGGCGGCCTATTTTAACATACACCTAGTCAGTTGTCCGAAGTTGGAGGAAGGCATTAATAAGAGAAAACAAGTCATTTGATTTATTTCTAAAATGTTCGAAGCTAACTCAAAATATTAAGTAAATATTTCGATGATGTCAGTAATTTTTCTTTATTACAAAGTCACTATAAATACATATGAGGTGTATTCACCCTATTTTGCTTAAGGTGATAGGAGGACTGGTAATTGAATTGTCCCACAATAATATGATTAGACCTTACGTTTCCCTTAAATTTTACACAGTCTTGTCGGATTGGACTACAGTTTCTACTTCGCCTTTTTATCATCAGCAACCCCAGTGGGACTCAAGCCATGGCAATGCAGAGTATATTATCTACACGTTAACTATTACGTTACTTCGCCATAAGTGCCTTTGGCTCACAGGGAAGATGGGAATGCCAAGGGAAGCCAGGTATTTTCCCATATCGAATTCTCTGGGGGCATTATCGATGAGGCAAAATTGTATTTGATATAGCAATCGTCTACTTTACTTATTTTTCGTTTTATAAGTAGGTTTTCTAGACTACTATTAGACCATATATATGAAGTGTATTCATCCTATTTCGTTTGAGGTGAATTCAGCCAAGTTTATGTTTGAAACAGTGTTGTCGACTTTATCTCTTATATTATAAGATTATGTTATACAGAAAAACTATCATCTATTCGATCGTTTAAGATACTTATACATGGAACTCTTTCTTAATACTTGGTGACAGCTTCAAAATATATTCACAGAGAATATAAACTCCGTATTTGTTTCCGTCCAAAAAGGGATTGTTTAATTATGATGGACTGAAACCTGAAGAATTATGGGTTGCAAGGCTCCTACTCCACTCGGGCCTAAATAGATAAGGAAGGAGAAAAATTAATTTGTAAATATAATTTCTATGTGAGAATCGAATTGTCTGTTTGTTCCTTAAAATGACTTCAGTGACATTTCCACGTAACCAGGATATGTGTTTGACCGCTTTAGCAGGAACAAGGATAAGCGTGTCTCCTGTAATCGTGGTCTCACTCATGTCAGAAATAAATTAACGATTTCCTGTCCTTTCGGTTATCTGTGGGCCTATCGCGTGTCAACCACAAATGAGCACTCTCCATGAGAGTTGTCTAGTAGATCGAGCAATCAGATTACTACCAACTGGGGTATAAGAATTTATCCAGAAGAACTGTATCGATAGACGTAAGAGGTTTTAGGTTGCTATTTATTTGCTTGCAAGGCTGTTCGAAATTCTAATTAATAGGGTCTAAACAACCTTCCGCAAAC